GCACGTCCTCCCGGAGATCCCGAACGTGTTGTGTGATGCTCACGCCAAACAATGCCTATATAAAGGCCTTACCTCCAACAATAGGGAAGAGATGCGCAATTTAGTTCGTGCAACTCTCCAACTCTCTCACATTTAGCTATCTTAAAATCTCCGATTCGCTAACTTAAGCATTGGAGTGCCCGCCCCGGGTAAAGCAACCCGGGCACTCTGACACTGTGTCCTTGCAGGTCGCATCAGAGCCACCTCTCTAGCTCATCACCACTCAGCTAGACATCAGAGCCACCTCTCCAGCTCGTCACCATTCAGCCAGGCATCCGAGTCACCTGCCAGCCGGGAGCTGCCGAAAGGCGCATCATCAATTGGCACCGTCTGTGGGAAACGCTATTTTCTCACCCGATTCTCTGAGCCTCAAGTAATAACATCTTCAAGCAACAACAACAACGCTTGATTGAAAGAACCCCCTAGGGGGGGCAGAAGCAAAATGATTAGCCTAGATGAGTTCTCGCAGTCTTGCCCTGACAGAATCTCCCTAACTGTGAGGTCACCCCCATATGTCGAGTTCTACGTGCTCTCTGCGAGAGTTGACGACCAATAGAATGTGAGGCCACCCCACAGGTTGAGCCCTCTGTGGTTCCCGTGGGAGTTGATAGCCAACAAACTGTGAGGTTGCGTTGCAGATCAAGCTCTCCATGCTTTACGTGGGAGTTGATGGCCTGCAGGTTGTGGAGCCGCCCTCGCAGGTCAGTCCTGCCGAGGTGACGAGGTGTTTCTAGGCTGAAGTAACCAGAGAAAAACTAGACTATCAAAATTCTGATGACCTAGAGACCTGCCTCCAAACTGGCGACCTACTTCCGCCGACCTGGTGACACACATAATCAGCCTGGATGGGCCTTGTCAGCCCTGTTTGCGAGGTCGCCCCTACAGGTCGAGCCCTTTGTGGCTCCCGCAAGAGTCGGTGGCCAATAGACTACAATCACCCTTGTGGGTTAAGCCTTTCAAGGTTCCCATGCGAGCTGGCAACTTGCAGTTTGTAAAGCTACCCCCGCAGGTTGAGCTCCGTGTGGCTTATCGTAGGAGTAGGCGACTAGCACCTTAAAGGACTAATATAGCACAGTCGTGGCACCAACCCGTTATTTAAATTCCAACATCGACGCGCATATCACAAGGGGAAGCCAAACTGCCTTCAGCATCAAGGACTCCTAAGCCAACCTCAAGGTATGTTGGCAACAGGCCTAAGGACCTACAACGAAGCACAAATCTACTCCCTTCGCTAAGCTGATCTCAGCTCGGGAGTGGGGGGCAATTGATGAGGGCAGATTTGGCCCTCCACTAACATCATAACACATGGCATCTCGGAACAACTAGGTGACACCCAGAACCACCTAGGCGACCTGACACTGTCGCCGACCTGGCAACCTGCCTCTAGTGCCGACCTGGCGACCTGCCCCTGTTGCCAACCTA